ATACTATTTTTATAAACCAAATTATATTCATAATTCATTAATAAGTAAAATCATAATTTCTCAATCAATTCAAGAATATGATTATATTTTATAAATTAAGCAATATATTAATAATATATTAATTAAATAATAAAGATAATCATAGTTTACTAATAAATTAATTAGTCACTATAACTATAATCTATCAATCAACACTTAGTTATTCAATCAATATTTACTAATCAACAATTAGTCACAATTTAGACATATTTCCTTTTAATCAATCAATCAATCAATTAATAAATTAATTATACTTTACTGATTACTAATATCATGTCAATTTTTTAATTTTTTCTAAACTAAATTTCAAAAAAATAAAGAAAAAACATTTATACAACGTACTTGTATTTTGGCCAAACTTGTAATTGACAAATCTTCAGATGGAAATTAATGATTTTGGAGGAACATATGCACCTAAAAAAACAGCAACCAAATCAATTAACAAATTAAAAAAAAGTCAAAAACCAAACTAATATAAATAGAAATTATGATTTAAAAAAAAGATAATAAACATGTTTAAAAATATTAAAAATTTTAGATTAAGTAACAAATTAAAAGAAAAAATAAATAAATAAAATTTAACTAACCTTAATTGAAATTAGGAAGTTACATTCTAAACCCACGTCAGAAATGATGTAGAAATTGAGTATTGCAATTAACAGAGGATTATTACCTAAAATTTTACCAAAAAATAAGTCATAAAAAAAGAAAAATCAAAGAAAAAAAAGGAAGAATGCAAAAAATCATACCTTTATCAGATCAAAACCCTCAAAAACTACTATATATACACTAAATTAAGAAGCAGCAGTCCATTGTATTGATTTGAACACTGAGAAGTTGAGAGGAGATGATATGAGCAAGCAGAGTTAAAACGTGAAAATGCAATCAGGGAGAATGAGTTTCTAAGATACAAATGGAAGATATTACACGTGAATCTGCACTGAGATTCTCCATGCTTGTTTCGGTCAATCTCATTGACCGAAACAAGCTGCAAAATCTGAAAAATTTCAGATTTCACATGCGTAGCAGGGGCAGTAGGATTGTGCATGCTTTTTTCAGTCAAGATGCTTGACCGGAAAAATGTGAAAAATCTGCAAAATTGTAGATTCCCCAGGCGCAGCGTGCTGGAAAATTACCATGCTTATTTCAGTCAAGCACACTGACTAAAACAAGCTGGAGTATCTGGACTAAGATCTTGCATGCTTGTTTCGGTCAGTATGCTTGACCAAAACAAGTTGCTAAATCTACAAAAATTGCAGATTTCACATGTGTGCAAAGCTGGCAAAATTAGCTTCATTATTTCGGTCACTAGGAGTGACCGAAATAAGCATGCAAAAATCTGAATTTTACAGATCACAAATGGCAAAATTCTCTTGCTTGTTTCGGTCAAATGCATTGAACGAAATAAGCAATCTAATTTTTTTTTTTTTTCACTTCGGCTTTTGATGGTGGGTGTTAGCAAATTGGTAAGCATTTTTTCGGTCAAGAAAATTGACTGAAATATGAATATTATAAATTTTTTATTAATGTTTGACTGGGAAGAAACTATTTCGGTCATTGTGTTTAACCGAATAAATTGGTTCCTTAATTTCGGTGAAACTTCTTGACCGAGGTATGTTAGAAGGCAATTAATTCGGTTAATTTTATTGAGCGAAATAAGTAGAGACCGAATTATGTGTTTTTTTTCATTTGTTTCGGTCGAAGTTGATTTTTGGTCAATAAATTTGACCGAATTAATGTTTTTTTCGGTCAATAAATTTGCTTGACCAAAATACTATGACCGAAATGGTCAACTTTTTAGTAGTGGTATATATTTAGGGTAGTATGTCCCTTAGTTAACTTTTGATTATGTCAAGATTAGTTTTTTATGAACAACTTTAAAAATGCATGCACCCACACAATTAGTTTGATTGCTGATTTTGAAACTTGAACTCTAGATTTGGCCTATAAGACTTGTTTACCATTAAATCCAACTTGAGATTAACACATGGAGCAATTCTTTATCAGCCCTAAAATATGACAACAACTGTTTTGCAAGTAGGATGCAACAACCTTTTATTTTGGTACATATATGAACGATAATTTCCTAAGACTCGAATTTTGGAATTCATAAAAATTATATATTCACCATGATACTGGCCATAATAGTTTTTATTTTTATTTTCACATGCATCCTTTTATATACCAGCTCTGATATTCTTGTCTCAATGTCCGTGTCCCCCACCATCTTGGCAATGGTAAAACTTGAGGCAGCCACGGATATAGTTGCTGGTGCCAGGACAGCCAGGATAACAGTTTCCTCCGGGCAAGCTGCAAACGTCGGGGAGCTTAATTTGAGCCATTAACGTGCCTGCTTCTGCCACATCATTCATCACCACCATCACCACCTTGCTAACGGTTATTACGGAAAACCAAAAAATCTAGGACCTGGAGTTGGGGCGTGCTGCGCCTATGACTGATCTTAATTGCGCGTTCTTTTTCACTTACTGAATTATTTTCCTTTTGAGTGGATTGTGTATATTTATAGGTTTCATGGTATGGCTAATTTTGGAAATGGATTAAAATAGAGGGAGTTTTTGGTACGGCTACTGTTTTTTTTTTTTTTTTTTGAGGGGGTATGTATTTACATGATATTTTTATGCAAATTAGATACGTACAGAAGAACACAAGGAAAGGATTTACAATGCCATTAACTATGCTAGTCGTTGCTGATATTTGACTTTTTAGATTTTGTCTTGATTTCCTAGTCGTTGCATGCCATTGATTATGCTAGCTAGCCTTTCACCTTTAATTTCATTTCCTTGTATGAGCCAGCTATTGCTTTGGCTTATTTCCTTGACTGTTTGATTTGTTTTCTTTTTGCAATGGTATTACCTTCGAATGTGTTGCCTTATTTCTCCCCCTCAAGTTATGGTGTGAGAATGGAAAAAGAACATATAACTTGGCTTGTATACTTTGGAATCTATCACGGGGAAGAGCTTTGGAAAATATGCCAGCCAATTGATTCAATGAGCATACAAACCGAGTAATAAGAAACCCTCGTAGTACTTTTTTCTCTTACAAAATGATAATCGATTTCAATATGCTTGATTTTTTAATGAAAAACTAGATTGTAAGACATGTAGAATGCACTAATGTTGTCACAGAATAGAAAGATGGGTTGGCCAAGATGAATGCCCAGGTCCCCCAATAGAAAAGAGAACCATGTGAGTTCAGCAATGGCTGAAGCAAGAGGCCGGTACTCTGCTTCAGCACTTGAGCATGCAACCATTGTTTGCTTCTTTACTCCCTATGGTATTAAATTAGATCTAAAGAAAATTGCATATCCAATGACTAAACAACTAG